CACGAAGTCTTAAGTTCACCTTATTCGAATAAGGCGATCTTTGTTAAGAAATTCTTAAGCGAATGCTTCAGGCGCGACTATGAATCCCGCCCTACGAGTTACGTCGCGCGTGTAGCGTTGAGGGACGCTAGGGATATGACGTCCCAGCTACTGTAGAACGGAGGTTAATGAATGATGCCACGTATATAGAACAAAGACTTTATTAGAGTCGAGCACGTGAATGTGCTGTAGCGACAGCGGACAAGATGGATCTGCTGCACGCAGGCGGCAACGCGATGCATGCGCCTCTTTCTCCTCGCGGGAGAAGGAGACACTACGCAGGGAGAGAGACGGCAGTATCCGCTCCCTACACTGATGTGGCCACGGGTGTGCAACCCAGAGGTTTTTCTTGGTCGATTTTCAGCGCCATTGGTGATATGAGTCGATACTAAAACGAGTGCCGGATATCCGGGACGCGTTTGAATTTCGGAACGATTTATAATAGACGAGACGGTGAATGACTGGCGGCTACTGTATGAGATCGTGTATAATAAATTTGAGTTATAATAAATTTGATATTAGGTGTTCTAAATTTTAAATAATTAATGTTTAAAACTGCAAACAACTAACATTATATTTATTATAACAAATTTATCACACACGATCCCATGCACTAACCGCCAGTCACTCACTGTCATGCTAAAAATTTTACATTACATACATACAGTATACAGTCAGTTATTTCCTAAAGTATTTGAAATACCAGAAAACTCTCGTGTTTCAAATAATTTAGGAAATAAGGGACTGTATACTGTATAACAAACAATACATACGATACATGCATACTACATTCTCCTATACTTTTTTACATAATAATCCCTAGCCATCTTGCACACACAATCATGCACGCCTTCCGTCCGTTTACCCCTTAAAAGTAAATTAACATTTTTTACATAACTTAAAATGAAGAAATTAACAAACTTATTGACTATTATTTTATATAAATTATGATACCTGCAATTCAAAAATCTATTTGGCACATGCTTCATAGAAGCTGCAAGTAAATGTGCCCTTACACGATTAAATGTTATAAATTTAGAAATAAAAAAACTATTAACATCTATTAACTCCGAAAATATTGCACTAAAAGAGTATGGGGCCGAATGAATGCATTTGGCCTATACTCCATACTACTTATAATTGTACTATTGATATCGGTATGAGTTGCAAGAATTTGTGCCTTGCAAAAAAAACAATTCTTAACATCCTTTAGTATTCTCTTTGCAAGGCATCCAGCAACATATGTATGTGTGTGCCTTACTGCGTGTGTATAGGCGCTGCACACTCATACGTATATTCTGGTATTTCCTCAAGATCCGTTTGAAATGATTGGAACGCATCGTTTTCGGCTGCACCCGTTAGAAAGAATTTCATGGTGTCCAGTGCTTCCCCATTGGCACTCTCACAAACTTACCCAGTTCCTCAAACTGGCTTAATAAGTACTCAGGTACACACAATAGAAGCTCTCTTCTTCTGTATCCTATTGTTTTTCAGTCTATGTCTGTTCTAAACCTAGATAGACGTCTCCTGTCGGTCGCGTGCTGGCCACGGCCGTCTGTTGGCGCTCTGTTCCCCTGCGCCTGATTGGTGAGCTTGTACTATGCGCCACACGGATAATCTTAATGCCGACACCTATGGGCCACCTCGTACAATTACAAGGATATCCTTCTCTAGCCACTGCCTCTCTCTCTCTCTCTCTCTCTCTCTCTCTCTCTCTCTCTCTCTAAAAAGACCGTTGCTGTGCAAGGTGCCTACGTGACCGCTAGCACAGTTTTTTCTACTATTAACTGTCTAATTACCCGCGACGAGCCTTTGTCTGCTTCTATTTGTGACGATACTTTCTTCGAGAAACGTGCGAATTAGTTAAGGGTGCTCCCTACTTAAAACACTGTTATATAACCGGCGCTCCGGGTATAATAATTGTATCTCTATTTTCGGTGCTCCGAATTATTGTGTTTTAATCGTTATCGTCTTTGTTATATTTATTTATTTGTGTACAGTATGTGACAATAAACTGTCAATTGTTTGTTACAATCCAAGAAAGCACTTCTTCGCATCCTATCTCAAGCCTTAATCTCGAACACAAAACGAGTGAAGATAACTATTTTATCAAAAATTGTGGACGCAATTCATCATGGTATTTATACTGCTATCACAGATTTTTTGACAGATAAATATAAAAGAACATCTTACTAGACAGTAACAGTGCATTATATAAATGATTCGTGAAATTTAGTGTCGAGAGTTGTTGACGACAGATGTTCCAGATGAAAGCAAAACCGGCAAGAATACAAGAGAATTGTACTGTCGTTTTCAACATTTTTAAATGTCACTGTATATACAACCTAAAATTATTAATAAAAGGTTTAGAAACTGTAAAGAGACTATTTGCTGTGCGCATTGCACATTGTTTGAAATCGTCCCTTTCAAGTGTCTGCCAGCGAGTAGTCTTGAAAGGTCGTCCATTCCCGAGCAGTTCCACAAACGAAGGTAATAGCAACACTGAACGTATGTACAGATATTCTCACGAAAATCAAGAACTGGGAAAACAGATTAGTTCATGGATAATCCAAGACGTAGACAAGTGCAAGAATGTTTCAAAACAATCCTATTGAAGTAGGTTTAGATTTACAAATCTTTAAGCTAAGTGTCAAGGGTACACGGTTAAGGGGACACGAGAAAAAGTCGTCATCGCTTTAATTCAAGGAAAGCGGAGATTGTGTGAATGTTAGAAGAAATATGTAATCGATTGCTTTTGAAAATTGTGTTATGTGGAATACAAAAAGAAGACTTCTAATGTTAAAAAAATACGAGAACCAATTTATCATTACATAGTTCAGTTCTTCTTACATGCAATTTTATGCAAGTAAATACCATTCCTTCAGTTGATTTTGTTTTTATTTTTATTTTTTTGCTTCTTAATAATATTTCATGGTACTTTTACAGCAATTTCAATCAATACATACATTAAAATTATGTCATTGAAATCAACCCTATATTCTGTGATACTAATGTATAATAACGGAGAATAATTACAACTTTTTATTAAATTTTTATATAAAAGATATTTTGGTGGTAGCGTTCTGCTGTTCCATAGTATACATTACATTTTTTAAACAAAACATGTTACAAGTATTGTTGTTGATTCTTTATTTCAAATTGAATCAAATTTCTGCATGTATCTATAATTTCTTCAATTTGCTACAATGCACGCCACATTGTTTCCTCATAAAATAAAATAAAATCGCGGGTTACTATAATAGCTGTCGAATAAAGCGCTAGTAAAGTCGCAGGTAAAGAGAAGCTAAAGACACGAGTGCCAACGGGTAACTGCGCGGGCCATGAGTGGGAAGATTACATGCTGCGATAACTTCGAGCGGGCATGGGCGGCTAAAAATCTACGCAGACCCGCTAAACCGGCACCGGATTTGGACGGGCTTGAGTGAACCGAAACACGACGGGTAACGGGCGGGTAGACCCGTGTATATCTGCCCGTTGCAGGCCCCTAATATGTAATGAAAAGACTCGTTAATAAAGATTTTAAGACCTGTTCAATTGCACGTATATTCGATAAATCATTAAAGTCGCGGTTCTCAAAGATGAGACTCCATACGAAACAATTTGGTAATTATATAGGATAGGGTACACCTCACTAACTTCAATGACCTTGATATACAGAATGTTAATAAAAATATGAGACACTCACAGGATGGAGGCTTTGTTTCCAAATTATTAATTGTTGAAAATACAGTAACACTACGTGTGAAATACGTCTGGCGCAATGACTGGTGTAACCGAAACCCAACTAATACACGGGGCTCGATCAATGACCTAGACAACTTTAATGTATAAAATAAAATGAAACAAATGAAATCAACTCGTAAAAGAGTTGAAGAGCGCGCCTATCAAGTAGGACAACTTGTCGCATCTGATGCAATTTAAGCGTATTTTACCCGTATTTTCAACAATTACTAACACTGAAACGAAGCTTCAAACGGAATTTCGCCATTCTTGATTGTCGTCTTAGTTTGGCGTGTAGAATCCACCCTACGGAAATGTCCCACATTTTTATTCACGCTGTGTATACGAGGTCTGAGCTAACTTGATCATCTCGAATAATAACTTAACGGTACATTTTATGAAAATTTTGAGGAAAAGAACTTAAATGGCATCAAAGGACATATCTTATAAGGTACGTGCTTTTTTGTGGGTGGAAGCATTTCAGAAATTTCAGTCACCTTGATTCTTTTTTAACGGAATGGCTTATTTTTTGTACCGTAGATCGATAGAGTATCAAATTTTGAGTATAAATGTGTTGACCTTCATACATCCTAAACCTAATAGTTAATGAGATATTTACAAAATAGTACTGTATTGAAGTCGCTGTATTGAAGTTGAGGGGCATCGGTTCGAGCACCTGTAGCTTCAGATAATAAGTACGTATTAAACATTATTTTGTAAATATCTCGTTAATTAGGACGTATGAAGGTCAACACACTTTTATTCAGAATTTGATACTCTATCGATCTATGGTACAAAAAATAAGTCATTCCGTTAAAAAAAATCAAGGTGACCTTGTAATCTCTGAAATGCCTCCACCTACAAAAAAGCACGTACCTTATAAGATGTGACCCTTGATGCCAAGTTCCACGCCTCAACGTTTTCATAAAGTGTACCGTTAAGTCATTATTCAAGATGATCAAGTTAGCTGAGACACCCTGTATAAAATTACTCAGGACATTGACCTTTATGACATACATCACGGTCATTGAAGTCGACGAGGTATATTATATTCTATATAATTACAAACAATTTTATTCTCGATTTTGTTATTACACGTAAAATCATCTATTTTTCAGTTGTACCACGAATTTTGTCGAATTCTGTATTATTCTCCAGTAAGAATACCAACATCATCTGCTCTGCTATTTTATACGTACATAGGTAAAATAAATTTTCAGCTGCAATGGGACGCTGCCAGAGCACGCCAGGACTCGTGGAATCACGTGGTCGTATACCGTTAGAGGAGATGTGGGTTTCGCCTGTGGACATGAAGTCACCTCATACGTATTCAGCCAGTCACTCATTGTACTCCCCTAGCCCAAGTCCGGTAATATCACGCAGTTTGCTGAGCACTGGAAATAATGTCAACGCGAACAACGTTGGAAGGAACGTGGAGAGTCCGATGAGTGCCACAAGCAGCGGCCACAGCAGCGAGAATCAAACCGCCAAGGTACCACAGACTGCTGCTACACAACCCTCCACTGGCAGACAATCTACTTACTCTGGCAAGTATTTCATCTCGGAGGGTTAAGTACTCATTGTCAGTCAGGGTTAAGAATACCTTGGTCCCTTAAAATCTTTAATCTTTTCACCCCCCCCCCCCCACGCTTGTTATAACTGACGTCAAAACAGTGATCCGTGGGTACTAATACCAACTATATCCGTCATCCATAGACTATTAGATATAAAGTTTTAAATAATAACAAAATATAATATTACATAAGCATTGTCTTTATGTGAATTCGATTTTATTTTTCTACGTGACAAATTATATTAATTTCAACTTTCGGTAGATATACAATATTTTATTGGTTTGCAGATTTTTTTTGGCCAACCCAATATGTGCACATACTAAAAACCATGAAAAAAATGTATTTTTTCGTTACTAGTAACATGTACAGAGTGGGTCACTTGATATTATCGTCTTCATTTACGTCAATATGATTATCTGTAGAAAAAACTAGATTATAGTAAAGATGCATAGTTCGAAGAGGGACATAAAATTGGTCAAATTAAATTTTTGTAGATGGACACTTCAAAGATTTGAAGGCGACCTTTCCCTTTTAAAAGGGTGCACACGTTTTTCTATAGCAGTTTTGTAGTACAATTTTTTAATACAACCATCTCAGGTCTTAAGGGCCAAGCTCTGTTGCATGTTTGTAGCGAAAGCAAAACCGCGAGAAGAAGAGACCATCACTCTGTTACTAATGTTAGCTTTACTTACTGAAAAGGTTCAATGTAACGACAATTCACACATCGACATTTTTGAAATTGATAAAATAACGATTCTTCGACATTGTGAAGTCGATGTACAAATCAAAACATTTATTGAGTGTTCCGTCGTAGACCAGGAACAACGACTGTAGATACCGTTAACTTTTATTATTTTACTTCCTTTGTACGTTCAGTTAGACTTTTTCGACACCGGCCACTTTCAATTTAGATTCGATAACATAAAGGTATAATATACAATACACCCGACCATTTGGTCCGCAGTCCGCACTGACTCGCAAACAATGCGGTCATAAACCCTACCGTTGGAAGACTCTCGAAAATTCGTCGCGGTCAGGTCACCTCGTGACCACGTGCGAGACATTTTTCTGGCGTCCGCTTCGCCCTGAAGAAGAGGGCGTCACCTCCACGTCGGTTGGAAAAACTCAGGAATTTGCCTTGCCCTGTAGGGCATAGCCAATTAGGGGACGAATTTTGGTAACGCCTTCGGCAATCCTCCAAGAACCGCGACGCAAAATATGTATGTAATGTTCGACAAGACTCATTTACAGCAACTCGCGATTCGTCAGCTCCAACGGTCGAGCAATCATACGAGTCATTCTCACTTACAAGAAAATTGAAACAGTTGCCTAATATTAATTTGGCGGGTAGCAGACGCAACTGTACGCGTACCACGATGGTCGAGCCTGGGATTTACAACTTCAGGCGAATTCAAAAGAGAATCCACGCGGACGGACGCGACATCGAGTGATATTTTCTTACATTCTCCGATGTTACGCTCCTTCGTATTAGCCATTGTAGTCGAAGCTGTTGCGTATACTTTATTCATCAAATGTCATCATACAAAGAAATTAAGACACGATATGTTACGATATCATGTAATGAATCGATGTACTCACGATGGTCCATGATATTGTCAGTAATTTAAGAATGATCTAACAACGATCTACTAAGTAACTAATCCTCAGTCATCCGCCACATTGAATCACCAACTCTTTTGTGTAGGTACCCTTTAAATGAAAATTTATTTTTACTTTCATCTGTATAAATCACATATTACCGTTACTACATTTCAATACTAACAAGAGGAAGACACGGTTGTAGAAATCGCTTCTGGAACGGCACTATGTGGAAGGTATAGTATACATTAGAACTGTGACTTTATACGATACCCGGATACCCGGATATCCATGAGATATTCGAATATATGAGACAATCGAGAATTTCGATTCAGAAGTCGATCGCAGCCCCGTAGGCATATCGCGCTATTTAGCACTCGCGTTACATTGAAAAAACATGACTTACTGGTTCTTATAATATAATTGCCAAAGATGGAGAAATTAACTTCTCCAGAGACGCGTTTGGGATAAATTAATGGCTTTTTGGAAAAAGAATCAAATATTTTCTACTGAAATCTGACACACTTTTTCATCGTAATGGAAGCCATATTCTCCTAAAATTTCGAAACTCTATGTTGAAATTTCTCCAATTATTAAACAATTGAAAAAAGAACTTATTTTAACAGGTTCGATTCTTTTGTAACTGAATAGGTCCACCCATTTTAATGTACTATGTCTCATTTTGTAAGTATTAATACCTACATGTTTTATTTGAACCTTTTTTCTCTGAAATCATTATACTTCCTTCTGTACGCGAAAAACTTGTTTTTCACACACTTTAGAATTTTTTTAACAATATTCCCCACAACATTTTACGAGTTTCAAACATATACATTTCATTTTTAATGATCCTCCGAACTATTTTACACAAACAAATACCTAATTAGAATTCTTTTTTGTCCAAAGTCTAATTCGACTGGACTATTATTCGAGCAGACAAAAATTATTGAAAGTTTTATTTTAAGTCTTCAAATAAAGATACAGATAAAAGATGCAAATTTTATTCGACGCTACAAATGAAACGCTATTTTAATAAAAAAAAGTACTTTCATTCGTTGATTAAACTCTCATCGAATAAATTGGTTCATTCAATTTTCTTTTTGCGTCCTTCTGACGAAATATATGTGTACGCATATAACACTCGTATGAATTACGTCAATAAAAGGTAACTAAATATCATTTCAAACAACAGATGTGTATAGTATTCCATGTTTTTTGTATATGCAATACCCGGAATATAAATTGTGTAATTCCATTGATTAAAAAAATAAGCATCATTACAAGTACGAATTATTGTTGCACACATTAGTACGTAAGTATTCTTTCATTCTCGAATCTCTTTCGCTAGCGCCATTCTTTTCCTACGTTTGGCGAGAATAGAAGTCTTGTAGCCGTAGGTATTCCATCGTTCTCCTGTTCGGCAAAATTGTAATGGGGGACATGAGGCAACAGCGTAAGAAAGCTCTCGATACGGTCCGGCAACAATGCCTTCGCGTAGCAGAATACTGAAACCCAACTTGATGGTATGTAACGGGAAACAAAATTTATTTGAAGGTAATGCCGTTAGATGTCGTACCATCAAGCCGTCCCGGGTATCGATTATGTGTTTTCGCTAGCGCCCGATTGATTACATCGGCACTTCGATCGATTCGGAGATGGCTCCGAAGGAGTCTCCCCCTTAATACGCCAGCGGCTTCCCTTTTACGAGTCGACGGCTGAAGTATTAGAAGCCAAAGAAACATTGACAGCCTGCGTATGGACGAGACAACATTAATGCAACAATACAACTTTTTTTTCTTTTGGTTATTTAGTCATACAAATTGTATTAACATATTCATGAGATTTTTGTGGTTACAGTGATACTAAACACGATATAATTTGGATCATTTATAATTTATCAAAAGTGATAACAGAAGAATGTGAGTTAACATAAAATAAGTATTTGTGATTCAAAGTATGTCGTATTTGTATCATATCAATCGGAAAAATCTGACAAATATGTTAATAAAATTATCATTAACAAAAAATCAAGAATAAGAAAGTTTCATCCTTGCATTAATATTGCCTCAATGATATGCGGTCTTTTAAAGTTTATCGGCTGCCTTGACCGCCGCTGCGGACAAAATACAGAGGCGAGTTACCGAGCCTCGGCAATAAACTTATGAGAGGTAAAACGTGTATTAGATTTGTTACGCGGAATTTAACTTTTGGGCCCCGGTCAGCCGTGTGACCGTGGTCCGCCGCGAACAAAACCCCTGTCTCGGTCTCCGCGACTATTCGCGCCTCCGGAAGTTGAACGCCTGGCACTCCCCGAGTACCGGTATCGGGTAGGACTTCCAATACCTCTGAAATTTACTTAGAGTGGAGACTACGAAAGAGTGGCGGTTACCGGCTAACACGCAAAGGGGTCGAGCTTCGTAAATAGAATGCGGAGAGACTCCTCACGGCAGGAGGCGGTTCACGAATAAACTGAGATCATTCTGCGTTAATTTAGACGTTCATTAACGCCACGCGTCTACCCATGAGGGCAACGCTCACAATAGGTGGCAAACAATAACAAATTCGTCCGAAAGTTCGGTTGTTGTCGCGCTACAAACTAAACAACATGCAATTCAGTTACGGAGCCTCCGCTCGATGGTATACGCGGTACGCTACGTGTTCAGGATTGGCTGGGCCGCGGCATGACGTCGTGCGCGCCGAGAAGCCAGCGTCGTCGCGGCGAGCTCGTACCGTGCATCTCGCCGCGAAGTTCGACAATTGTCGTACCGAATTCGGCAATCGTCGCCGGAGACAAGGAGTTACGTCGCGGGTAATCATAGTGCCGACACCTGTGGGTCGCTTCGCATAGTTACAGCTCTGTCCTTCTCTAGCCTCTACCAGATCTTTGTCTGGCAGTGCGCTCTTTCTCTCTCTTTCTCTCTCTCTCTCTAAGAGGACCGTTGCTGTGCGAGGTGTCTACGTGACCGCTAGCACGGTTTTTATGTTATAAACCGATTCTATCCGTAATACGCTCCATGCTCGAATTTGGATCGGTCACGTTACGCTGGCAAAAAGCAGCATAACAGATTAGATTAGATAATGTCATGCTCCAAGGCCACGAGCAGGGTGATGTAATGCCCAGTCTACTCTAGTACCTGAGGTCCAGGGGTGGCGTTACCTGGGGTGTCTTAACCACAACGTTTTCCACCTGTCCCAACTTTTTAAGGCCCGGGCCGCATGGAGGATCGCGTGTACTTATCAGGGAATGGAGAATCATTAGGATCGTCACATCCCTACCTAATTTATAAAGCTATGGATTTGAATGGCGGGGCAACCGATCCTTCATCTCCGGGAGGTGAGTACCAACTCACTCTTTCTTCACCCACAGGCCGAGTCTGTACAAATGGGGGTATCATCGTCGTATCATCATCATCGAGAGAGAGAGAGCTAGATCGCCTACTTCAACGCTCTAACATGACCTACCTACGTCCCGAATGGCTCAGGAACACCCCCTCCCCGATTTACCCTTTTCAAAGCTACCACCCCCCTTCCCACTGGATAATAAGAAGAGAGCGCCGGCGCTCCGAATAGGTAGATGGAGCTAGCCGGTCTCTAGTAGAGTCGTGACCGGGTTCGCACTACATTATTCTCCTCCTGGAAAGCCCGAAGAACCATAAATGAATTCTTCGCCATTGAAGTTACTCTCTCTACAGCTAGGTATGAGTTCAAGATAGTAAAACGACGAACAGAGTATGTCGTGCCCTCTACAGTTTGTATCACCATTATATTATACTTTTTATCCTCACCTTCCTAACAATCCATTTTGTCCATTGCTCCCCCCTCGAAAAATGCAAGGAACGCGACGCGAGACGATGGCTCACCTGACTTTTCTAAACTCCTCCATGAGGGCAGTTCGTTCGGGTGACCAATGGCCACATCTGGGCCACCACCCGCATTCCGGGTTGAGTCGCAAGTCCACTCTCCGGAGCTTATGTTCCAGCCTCTTCGTATGTCTGTTTCCCTCCTCTACCTGAAACAAAGAGTCACCCTCTCTTTAGCATCTTGTCCGGAGTCGAAACTCCAGACAGGATCCCAGGCGGCACCGCGTGGAGGCGAGAGGGTGTGATTTTCGGGGCCTCCACACTTCTTCGACTGACTAAAACATGCTTATGAGATGTCGGATCCATCTGACGTATCAAAACATGTACACCTCTACGATAACTATCTATAAGTGATCCTGATTTTTAAGCATCAATCGAAGATTTACTGTATCTGACTACAGTCATACATGGTAGCGAAAGGGTTAGAATTGCATAAATATGCAAAGTATGTTTGGTTGATGACTTACTGCTTTCTTAATACATTGTATCCATACATTTGTAACGTCCGAAACTGTATAAAATATATTAAAACAAAAATAATTAGGAACAATTATACTTCCTCAACTGATGAAATAAATTATTCCATGATTCTGGTATTTGCAAAATAATCTGAGAAATGGTAATTTATAACCGCAGTTTAGTAATTACAAAGTGAAGGGCAACAGAAATTCCATATTTCGGTGGATAGAATAATTGTTGTAAGAGAATCGATAAAGCGCAATTATAATTGGGGAATATCGAACATCTTTGTAAAGTTTAATGTAACTGCTTTACTATTTTACCTCACCAAGTACATACAGTGTATAGATCAGAACTGCATAACTTCTGCTCCCGAAGTCAGTCTCCCGCTTCAGGGGTACCCCCACTACGCGGCTCAGGCTGCCTCGCGCGCTACTTACAGAGCGTCGCATGCTACGGCGCTACGGCCCGTATGGGGACTGGTCTTCCCACCAGTGATGCCAGAATCGTGGAAGTTGGTACCCTCATTATGATCTAGCGTTGTCTCCCACTTTACTTCCACCGTGCTGACACACAAGCATACATCTACCCATGTCCGTATGCGCTGCCCATTCGGGTCTTTCCGCCCACTACCTTCGTTACCCAACATCGTAAACAGTCAGGAGACTCCGTTGGAATCCCACTTGGCCGAAAATCCACGTTTTCGACGCGATGCCCTGCAGCCTAAGCACAGCACGTTAGCTAAAGTCAGTCGACCCTGTTCGAATCCCAATGTGGCGATTTTACTTTTCATTTTTAATTATTTTATAGTTTCACTTTGTAACCTATCAGTAAAATAAAAATTTGAAAAATATTAATTTGCATGATATTTAGAAAGAAGGAAATATATTGTTTCCTCTTCAATATTTAAACGTTATATTTTATACATACTTATCATGTTATGACTACAAAAATTATTCTCACAATTAGATGTTACCGTTATTTTAACTATTGGAGTCCATAAATATAAAAACATTCGTAGAAACATCCATTAGATTAAAATGTTACGTTATAAATATATCTTCAAACTTTTTAAAGGATATAGCCGGATAAGGGGGCCAAAAATCTCTATTTAATGGCATGCGAAAATTCTGAAAATAATCTGATAGGTAGTATTTACTGGGGCACGTATTAATGATTTTCTTCCGATTTTTCAGTTGAGTGTTTTAGTTGTGAAAATTCAAAAACGGTCTCAATATTTTTAAGATTTTTGGTAGGGTGCGCTGTAGTTTTAAAAATCGAAGACCGATATTTTCGACGTTTTTTCCGTGAGAAAATAACTTACAGATATTTAAAATTTTTATATTTCCGTTATTAAGTAAGTATATTATACGATTGTAAATATTTTTGAGCATCCCGACTGCGGAATCGGGATGAAGTTTCTTGGACGCTGTCGGGTCCCGCAGAGATAGTATTAAGAGTTTTTTTGTTACATTGACTACATATTTCCTTAATTTGTAAGTAAATGACAATAAATAGTATTCTTGTTGAGAGTATAGGCTAGGATAGTCATATTATTAAGGGCATCATGAAGGCGAAATTTAAGGAGTTTTTATATACATTGTAGATTAAAATATTAATACTACAAATATATAATACATTATACTTATAAATAAATATTATACATTCTCGTTTAGTTACAAATTGAAAAAAATATGTAATGAATGTAATAAAAAAAATCTTAATACAATCTGCGGGGCTCGAACCATGTTTAAAAAACTTCACACCGGTTCCGCAGTCGGAACGCTTAGCCCAGCGCTGGGCAGCGTAGAGGCACCTCGCGCGCCTGTTTCCCCTTCCAACCCTTCCAACCTGTCACTCCATGGTAACGGTGGACGGTGGTGAGGACAAGTTTTAGCTTCCGGGAGCTAACTTTGCCCCCCGCTGGCTTAGCCACTAACGACGCTTTTGAAATTCAAGGAAATATTTTACCATATATTAAGTGTAGCACGGTTTTAATTGAGTTAATGCGACTTCTACAATTTATATACTGTTTTACTGGATATGGAAATATTTACAATCGTAGAATATATTTATATAATCCTTCAACGCCCAGACTCTTAACTCGTTGTTTCAAAGTTATGAGACTGATGTTTATGTTGTATCTTGTTATTTTGAAGTCCAAACATCAATACCTATTTTTTCATTTCTTTTCCTTGCTCAGAAAAGTTAGATATTAATCGGCAACAGAATTGGACGCACTTTTAGAATCATTATTGAAGCGGTGCAACACTAGGCGTTAAAGGGATAATAAAAGAAGTACAAAAATTTTAAATACCTGTAAGTTCCCTTTTCACGAAAAAAACGTCAAAACCATCGGTCTTTGATTTTTAAAACTACAGTGGACTCTATCAAAAAATGTTTAAATGTTGAGGACATTACGTATGATAGTATGTCGTTACTATGAAAGGATACATATGGTGCTGTTAGAACCTCGATGAGAAAAAATCTATTTCCAACACTTTTATTTTGTGAATTTTTACAACTAAGATACTCAACTAAAAAAAAAAAAAAAAAAATCAGGAAAAATTGATTAACATGTGCCCCAGTAAATAGTACCTATCAGATTATTTTCAGAATTTTCGCATGCCATTAAATAGGGATTTTTGAACACCGATCAGGCTATATCCTTTAAAAAATTTGAAGATATATTTATAACGTAACATTTTAATCCCATGCAATAGTTAAAATAACGGTAGCATCTAATTGAAAAAATACTTTTTGTAAATATAACATAATATGTATGTATATAATATAAAATTTAAATATTGAAGAGGAAACAATTAGGAGGTTACAAAGGAAATTATAAAATAATTAAAAATAGAAAGTAAAACCGCCACAGCAAGATTCCAACGGGGTCTCCCGACTGTTGCTCACGCGTTTAGATTTAAACTTTAGGTTGCCGTCGCGTTGCGTCGAAAACGTAAATTTATAGGGTCTCCAAGATTTCCTCATTGTTTACGTTGCCGGGTAACGAAGGTAGACGGCGGAAAGACCCGAACGGGCAGCGCACACGGGGACAGGGCTAGAGGTATGGATTTAGGTATAAATCAAGATTTCCTCATTGGAATTAGGTATAAATGTACCTATGTTTTGGTACCTCTTTTAATTCTACGAGCATATATTAAAACGAATTTCTATCAAATTTGCATAAAAATTTTATCTCTGCCATCGACAGTATCGACGGAAAGAGTTTGTACCATCTCTATTAGTATCTGCATTTTAAATAACTATAATAGATTTGCATCTGTACAAGAATAAATTAAATTGACGATACCGTGTTGATATATGTAATTGCTTATATTAAAAGAATTTTTTGTTTGTAGGCATGACCTGTAACAGCATGACACAATTGATCAGCGAAGGTGCTACACCGCTGTTAGGCACTCACGATGCACTACTAGCCGAGATCAAACGTTTACGGGAACGATTGATCTGTCTAGAAACTGAAAACGCAGCAATGAGTGTAAAGCTCAATCAACAGCAATGGGAAGTGGAACATCGATTGACTGAAATTGAGATGCAGATTTGTGGTGCCAGCTCGACATCCAGCGTAGAAGACAACAACGAGAGGAACCGAGAAAGTATCATTTAACAAGAAACTAGGCCGCGAGAGCGCGGCAAAACTAAGGTGGGACAAATACAACACTACTTGACGGATGCCACTGACAATAGGTAAGGTGTGAATATAGATATAACATTACTGAATTGACACTGCTTATAGAAGGTGTTTGTTTTAACTGAGCACGGTAGACTATCTCTTAAGGAAGTGAAGGTGTCAAGGAAATGTTCTTACAAAACTTGTTTTGTATGAAGGGGGACGTAATGTGGTATAAATAACTTTTTGTAGGTAAAGTGGCGGGAGGGACTTCAAGGTCAAGTTTATGCTTTTGAATGGAATAGTATAATTTTTTTATCGATAATACGATGGCGTATGCTGAGCAAAGATCAACGATGTATCACATAAGATTATTGATTGTAATAGAAGGTTAGACATTAGTGAAATTCGAAGGAGTCAGATCAACGTGATCACAGTTCGCGTGCTACCAAACCCTACGTAACCGTGTAAAGAGTGACGCTAATTTCACGATTGCCATTAAGGTGACTACTTACAAAGGAATCGCTAAGGCGCGGTAATCGCTTTTGAAACAACACTAGGTACAAGTTGTAGTACACACATACAGAGTGTTACAATACCCTAATTGGTTTTCGTAGAATAGGCTTTCATTTTCGAGATATTCTGATTTAAAGTTTCCTACAAATCTAGTCCATTGAACTCTATACCTGCGTTTCGAAACGCGCCGCTAGCCGCAGCTTTCAAAAATGTGTGTGCTGGGATCGCTCTGCGCTGAGCGTGTTAAAAGAGGGCTCTTGGTCCAGCCCCATAAAGAACACACGCGAATTACGATAATTGACCGAACACTTGGGACATTTATTTCAAGATATAACACAGTAAAAAGTCGTGGACACTGACGCGTTGCGCGTGCGATAACAATTATTGGATGTTGGCAACAAAAGAATAGTCTGCAACAATGACGAGATGCGCGTGAAAAAATGTCGTGTGAGAATCGTACTGGTATTCTTTGTATTCTGCGAGCTTTCGGCGTAAAAATATGCTCGAGCACCGAGGGCCATTTTTTGCATAAGCCGGCGGTTGACGTTTCGCGAAATTGCGTGATATTTCTAGGAACAAGAAGCGCGGCGGAATCTCGTGAAACCCTGCAGTCGCGCAAGCCAGCCTCGCAGTGTCTGTACATAACTTTACGCCGTTGCCACATGTCCGCCATTACAATTCTGCTCATTAGGTTTGGCTACATTTCTGCTCATTGCCGGAATAAGTTGGCTTCGTAACTTTGTAATTAGAAATACAGTAGGCTTCGAGCGATAAAATGTACTGTTGTGGGTTTTACTCGAGCTAGAAATTCGGTTATGATTCAAGGCTAGTAAATAAATTGGATTCTATGTTGATAGAATAAGTCATACAAATATATTCTTAGTCAGTCGTAGGACTTTACAAATGTTTGAATTGCAAGTGTCGCGGAAACTAATTTTCATCTCCCTGATATTTCCACGTTAAAGTAATGCCTAACAGTAAATTTACGTACTGCATGGTTATGAATGCTTGAAGGGGATTAACCCGATTTTGTAACTACGTGTCTCGTCTATGGAAGTCGGACTCGAAATGTGACCATCGAGGATACATCCGTGGATATATCCGAAAATCGATCCAAAAATCACATATGCATCCTCTCATTGGAACTGTAATTTCTGGAAAATTTAGATCGTTGCATTAGCACGGAAGTGATGGTCTTTGCCTAAGCCTGTACATTCCAGCCTTCAAGAAAGGGTTAAGGGTTAAAAAGAAAGCCTTCTTTGTTGTTGGCGTACGTGACATACTATACAAATCTGCTGTTTGAAATGATACTTATTTAACACTTATTGACATAATTGGTACAGGTACTATATGCTTGCACATTGTATTTCATAAAAGGTACTCAAAAAAAGCATTGAATAAACAAATTTATTCGATGAGAATTTATTCAACGAATAAAGGTACCTTTTTATTTGAACAGTGTTTCATTCGTAGCGTCGAGTAAAATTTTCATCTTTTATCTGTATCTTTATTTGAAAACTTCGAATAACGCTTCGAATAACTTTTGACAGCTTAAATAATAGTCCAGTCGAAATATACTTGTAACAAAAAAAATTGTAATTATTAGGGAACATTGTGAAAAAAATTCGAACACGTGTGAAAAACAATGTTTTTCGCGTGCAGAAGAAAATATAATGATTTTAGAAATAGAAAGTTCAAATGAAGAATGTAGGTATTTTTAATACACAAAGTGAGCTAGAGTACGTTAAAATTAGTCCACGTGTTAAGTTGCAAAAGAATTAAATCTGTCCAATGGGCTCTTTTCTTCAATTGTCTAAAACTCGGAGAAATTTGAACACACAGATTTAAAATTTTAGGAGAATATGGTGCAGGAAATATGTATTTGTTCGTTTTTACAAAAAGCCATTAATTCATCACAAACGCGTCTCCGGAAAAGTTCATGTTTCCATCTTTGGCAAGTCAGACAGCAAGCAGCGTGGTTATTTGTTTATTCTTGGAGAGTTATACTATCATATAGACTTCCAGATGAAATGTATCTTTACAATTAAACCACCGAAAAAGGGCTCCAAAGAATAGGTACCTTTTTGTCTTGTAAACAATTTGAATAACATCTTCATTTTTGATTAAGTCGAATTGCCGTATAAACCATTCAATAACTGCAATTTGACTACAAATTTTAAAACAAAATATTATACTCTAACTTAATCAGGAGTAGTGATAATTTATTTTTCTTTGAAAAATCACTGTAACGTCAATTGTTAACATTGAGAGTTGAAATTTAGACGAACTCTGAGGGAAAAGTTAAATTATCTGTTCCTTAATTTTTGGAATAATCCATTTAGTGACTTCTCTTATAAAGATCACAAAGTTGCGGTATGCAAACGGACAGTACACGGCGGGAGCGGAGTGAGGAGAGTTCGCCGCGCGATCAGCTCGTGCTGCCCGAAATTGATCTCACCCGTTTTATCTGGCGGACCCGGAAAAATTTAGGTTTTTTGTGCAAAAATTAACGTAGAACGATGATTTTTGTTTAATTTGGGTTGCCTCGACGAGATATTAATGAATAGCGTGACCAATTTTGTAAAAAAATTAGTTAATAAAACCACGCATAAGTGAAAGTTTAAACTTTTACATTTTTCAATATACTTTAATGAAAGTATCACGAATGAATTGAAGAAATTGATTTTTGATGAAAATGGGTTCAATTTTGAGATGGTTACTTACTTCATCATAACACCATTCCAGTTTTATTGCATGTGGAATACAACGTTTCTGAACGAGAGCAGCAACTATAAAATATATGCCAAGCAGTCGAATGCAACAAATGACAGTCTACACCATACGTGCACGAGCATTCTTTTGATGTACCGACACGAGTCGGATCATTCAGCCAAAGCGAACGAGTAAGCGAGCATTTGCTTTTAGTCTGTACTAGTTTCGTACGACGTCATACCGCCGAGAGTTTTCTAAAATTCAAAATTGTTTTTGAAAAAAGCGGAAAAAGCCAATTTCGAAGATAGCCACCCTTTTTTTAAAAAAGTCCTTTTTCTCGATTGTACTGCATTGTACTAGTTGTACCAAGCATTTTACGGTTTGAAAAAACTGTTTAAAAACTCGATTTTAAAAAAATCGTAAAATAAAAATATCACGAGCACTCATTTAAAAAAGAATCGCTGTACCAGTTTGTACTAATTTTGCACCTGGGTGTACTGTTGAAAGTCTTTTCTAAAATGCGAAGCTGTTTTCGAAAAAAATGAAAAATACCAATTTTAAAGACAGCTCCCATTAAAAAAATCGTTTATCTCGACTGTACTGCATTGTACTCTTTGTACCGAACATTGTACCGTTCAGTATTTTCTAAAAAATGGAAAAAACCAATTACAAAGTTAGCACCCCTTTTTTTGAAAAAATCGATTTTGTTGGTAGTACTGCATTGTACTAGTAGTGCCGAGCATTGTACCGTTCGAAAAAATTGTTTCACGGCAGTGGTTTCCAAAAATATCGTTAAAAAAGAAATATTATGAGCAATTGGTTTTTTACATTTTTTTCGAAAGTGGTTTTGAATTTTAGGAGACTTTCAACGGTACAACGCAATACAAAACTAGTACAAACTAGTGTAACAACTTTTTTCTAATTTTTCACAAAATGTGGAGCTAACTTCACGCAAATAACCTGTAGGATGGCGGGCATTCGAATACGGATAAGGTTTGGACACAAAATGAACGGATACGAAGTTAACAAATGACGAGTGTGTATTTCCAACAGAACTGCTCTCTACAAGTTGCTGGTTTGACTGCCTTGCACAGTCCCTTCAACCAGGAAAATGTCTGTTAGGAAAGACAGTGGGGGGTGCACTCCTAAGTGGACGTGCCTTCAATGCGTTCGGTCGATTCGTCACGCACAGCCTATCCATGAAAATATACAAACTGTCGACGACCCAGACGTCTCGCTAAGAGGCTGTGCGTAGAGAACTCCCAAGACGAAGTTCTAATGCTTAAAAATGCTTACATATGAAATTTCTGCTGTTTGACGTCGAATTTATAAATTAGAACAAACTGCTTAATGGCAGAAACATTGCGATATTTGTTTTTGAACATCGTTTATGTATTCATAATGGTATACGATGCTTGTATGACACTCCGACCCGATTACAGAGCTTGGGATCTACGGTGGCGCTCCTAATGTCAAAACCCAAAAGAAAAGTACATACATAGTAAGGTCCAAAAGTTCACGGCCTCTCCTTTTTATAAGATCTTACTGAACATAATTCTTCAGATTTAAAGTGTGCTTCTCATTCATTTCAACCACTACTAGAAATTAATTGAAAACTGACTCATTCCTACCACTCTGTCCTACTACTAGCGCCGCCGCGTGTTTGGTTGATTTATTTCGCGTCTCTATTGAAAACAAAACAGATTTTCTAACTTTCCTTGACACTTTCCGTAGAAGAAAGGTCTGCTCTATTGCATGCTATATTAAAT